CAACTCTCCACTGCCCAAATAAACAATAAAAAAAAAGAACATCACTATTTCGTAGATATATCCCCAATGAAAACATGCTTTCATTTAATTATGCATTTTCCATTTGGACTATATATAAAAACCGCTTGCAAAAGCTGCAGATCTCTTATCTGCAACATTTGCAACCCCATCCCTTCTAACCCCACCCAGACCTTCTGTGGCTGTCCAATCACAAACTTCCCAATGCAAGCCAATGAAAATCTTTGCAGTCTCTGGGTAATTGCTGCCTCTTGAGTTTATCTCCACTGAGCTAAACAAACCAGGAAGTAACAGGACCGGTTGTCTGATTGACAGCCAGAGGGGTGTAACAAGGTTCATTTTAAACGTGCCAGTTTCTGTTGAAATCTGCACTTTTTGTAAAATGAAAAAAGGCAAACTTTTCACACATAAAGCACTTCACATGAACAACTACAGCTTATTGTATTTGTTCTGGTGAGTGTAATCATTACCTTCAGGCTTTTGCAGTAAACGCTGTCTTTTCAGAGAAAATGCAGTGTTTACATTACAGCCAGTGGCGTACATACCGGGGTCGCAGGGGTCGTGGCTGCGACCAGTCCTGGCCCACCAGGAGCCTGGCCGCCCTGCAACCCGGTATGTATGCCACTGTGGCCAGCCTCTTCTCCTGGGGAATCCCCTCAGCACTCCCAAAGGTAGGGAGGCTGGGGTGATAATTTTTTTTTTAAAACATGTGAGTGTTTGTTAGAGTGTGTGTGTGTGTGGGTGTGTGTGTGTTAGAGTGTGTGAGTGTGTGTGTGTGTGTGTGTGTGTCAGTGTGTGTGTGTGTGTGTGTGTGTTAGAGTGTTAGAGTGTGTGTGTGTGTTAGTGTTAGAGTGTGTGTTTTGTAAGTAAGTGAGTGTGTGTCTCTCAGTGAGTGTGTATGTATGTCTGTCACTGAGTGTGTGTCTGTCAGTAAATGTGTGTGTCTGTTAGCTAGTGTGCATCTGTTCGTGAGAGTGTGTGTCTTAAGCACTTGCTTTTCTCCAGCGCCGGACTCCCTTGGCACTGGGGATCTCTCTGCCCCGGTCTGCCTTTCAGCTCCGAATGCACATGCGTGGCAAGAGCTGCGAGCGCATTCAAACCGCCCATAGAAAAGCATTACTCAATGCTTTCCTATGGACGTTCAGCGTCTTCTCACTGTGATTTTCACAGTGAGAATCGCGGAAGCTCCTCTAGCGGCTGTCAAAGAGACAGTCACTAGAGGCTGGATTAACCCTCAGTGAAACATAGCAGTTTCTCTGAAACTGCTATGTTTTCAGCTGCAGGGTTAAAACTAGAGGGACCTGGCACCCAGACCACTTCATTGAGCTGATGTGATCTGGGTGTCTGTAGTGGTCCTTTAAGTGTATGTGTATCTGCATGCACTGGCGTACATACCGCAGTCGCAGGGGTCATGTGACCAGGTGCCCGCCGCCATGTGTTGCGGCCCCAGCCCGCGCAGAGTAAGCGCGCGGGGGGGGGGGGCACGGATCAGTTTTCGCATCGGGCCCCCATGGGTTGTATGTACGCCACTGATTACAGCCTAAGGATAACTTTACTGGCCACTCCTGAAATGGCTACTAGAGGTGCTTTCTGTGACTGTCAGTATCTCCACCCTCTGCATGCAGACACTGAACTTTCCTCATAGATATGCATTGATTAAATGTATCTCTCTAAGAAGATGCTGATTGGCCAGGGCTGTGTTTGACTTGTGCTGGCTCTGCCCCTGATCTGTGTCCTTGACAGTCTTAGCCACGCATTGTGATTGGTTCAGATAATCCCTTCTGATGATGTCAGCCAAGCAGGCAGATCAGGGGCAGAGTCAGCAGATGCAGCCTTAAATAGAAGTAAGATTTTACTATATTTAGGGGGCAAGGGGTCCCGTGGGGCTAGATAGTGGTTTTAACAGTACAGGGTCAGGGATTCATGTTTGTGTTCCTGACCCTATAGGGCTCATGAAACAAAAACAGGTCCTGTATGTATTTGGATAATGTTAACGTACTCTTTAAAATGTTACAATTTAATTTCTGGTAGTGTTTCTTCATAGCTAGATTTGTCATTTCCCCTTTATATTGTGAAGCCTGATTCTGTTCTTTTAACAGCAACCGTGTAAACTCCATCTTTAATCCTGTTTTCAATACAAGAACAAACATTTCTCCATAAATGTATCCATTTGCAGTTTGATCTGTAACCTTTTGTTTGAATCCTTCAACCAAATCTAAATAAATACTATCAACTGCACATTACTGTTCTCTATGTTTACCTACGTCCTCATATAATGCAAATTCATTTGATTGACACAATCTATCGTTTATGAAAACCATTTAGAATGTAATTGCTAATGTGTTAATTATGGAGAATTATTGGGGAAATTGCAGATTTTATAAAAAAAATAGCCAAATTGGAGAAGAACCAGAATTGGAGAGTTTTCCAAGTTTGCCTAAATTACAATTGTCAGTTCTTGTCAATAGTCATAGGGAATAACCTTATTAAAAATAGGAATTGATACATAAAACACATACAAGCCATTGATATATTTTAGTAGCTATAGGATAGTGCAATTCCTGCTTTAATTAAAATGTTAATAATTTAATATCTTCAGAGATGTCACGCCAACAGGTGTATAACATGTTATTTTGATCCCTTTGTATGAATGGGCACCATAACTATGCCAAACTAATCTCCTGGCACTATGACAGAATAAAAAGTTTCCTTGAAGGTAGAAACTAATAATCACACTTACACCATTCTAGCTTTCTGTCTAGTCCTGCGTGTATGCTATCTGGCCCCGGGGCTTTAGTGTCGTGTGTCAGCCAATCATCAGTGTCCTCCAGGGTTTCCAAGATTTCTGTAACATTCATTTGCAAACAGTGACTTTCAGCTCTTCATTAGTACATACAGGAGAAATAAAAATGGTTTAGAGTTTTCTTATTCTCGTCATGCTCAGTAACTCCTTACTATTTGTAATTTCAAAGGTATATTCCCAGTTAAATAAACTGATATTTCCAACAAGTTTCAGTGATGCTCGATAAATCATGATGTTCTTCCAATAATGTTAGACACCAATTTTGCTTCTAGTACCATCTTTCCCCGAAAATAAGACTGGGTCTTACATTAATTTTTCTCTGAAAAACGCATTAGGGCTTATTTTTGGGGGCATGTCTTATTTTGGGGAAAAACGGTAGCAAGCATGTGCTAGAAAGCAGGTCTACATTCGGGGGAATTCCACCAAGCGAAGACTAGTTTACTAGCACATAGAATCCTGTGAATCGATGTTCGGGAAAACTTGCCCGGACATAGATTAGTTTACTCACGAATGGAATCCCACAAATCTATGTGCGTTGAAAATTCCCCGAACAAAGATTAGCAAACTAGCGACTGGGGCTTATTTTCGGGGTTGGTCTTATATTACGAGCATCCCCTGAAAATAAACTAGGGCTCATTTTCGGGGGATGTCTTGTTTTTGGGGGAAACAGGGTATTTGTTTTTAGGTTACCATTTATGCGTGATATTTTAAATACTGACTTGTTCCAGCAAAGTACCTCCTCGTAGATTACTTTTCTCACCAATTTTCACCAGTATGTGGAAGGACTGGTTTTTAATATCTTCCAACCTCATAGCTTCCTCTCCCCAAGAGCAGCAGACTGTCAACATAAACATACAATGTATCCCAAATGTAGAGATTGTCCTCCAGAAAATCCCAGTCTTTCCTTCCTGCATCACCTGTGAGGTCCAAACGTGTTTTATTTCTATCTCATGGTCTATATTGCAGTGTGATGGAACTGGTTGTTAAGGGAAGTAAACAAATATGTTTGTTAAGGGCAATGGATCCAGCAGAGAGATTTAATAATTGCTTTGTAAATTCTTCCATACAGTTTAAAAAACTTTAGACTAGATTTTTGAATTATGTTGTCTCTGTGTGCTGCAAAGAGTAACTGTGTTTTAAAAGCACACCACCAAGTTCTACCAGGGAGGAGAAAGGATAATTTAACTGGACTTCATGTAATGAAGAAATACCACTTTAAATGTAGACAATTTTTTATAAAAGTTCCATCCATAGCTGTGCTTTGATGACATTGTACAAAATGTTCTATACTTGCAAACAGCTGTTTGTAATTTTGACATGTCGGATGTAAACTCGCTGAAAACATGTTGTTGCTGTGTGAGAGTTCTGACTCGGCTTGTTCACTTAACACACAACTATAATGAATTGAAAACTTAATTACAAAATTTAGCAAAAAGTTTTGCTTTGGATAAATCAGTAATAGCCACAATTTGGCTTTTTTTTTTTTTTTTCAGTGCGTATAATAAGTACATGCAGACATGAGGTGCCCCGAGAGCAATCCCCAAGCTTTTTCCACGCTAAACGTGCGGGAAAAACGATTTATAAGCACAGTTTTATATTGTAGTCAGGCTTAGGTAAACAGTGTTTTTAAGGATAAGTTTAACTGTAGTTACGCTTAATTGTAGTTAGGCTTAATTAGAGTATAGTCTATCGATGACACAAGTAATGCATGCATACATATAGGTAACTAAGTTTATCTAGTTAAGTCGGTAGAGCGTCAGGAGTAACGATGGGTTAACATAGTAGGTAGGTTTGGTCCGTTATGTCAGTACTGCTACTGCGGCATTAGTAGTGGTTTCACATTGTATACAGACTAGGTCGGTTCTGTCTTTTAGGCAGTTTCAACTTCAATAATAAATCTACCGTATAAACAAGCTTGGTCTGTTATGTCTTTAGAGCATCATTTAAGCATTACTATTTACTCAGAGACTATACATTTCATTATGGTAATGGTGTTATCTATCAAGCTATTTAATCATCCAGTAGCTACCATTACATGAATATGCTGAATAGTAAGCTGGAACCATGCTAGAAAGTCCCCAGGTTTAGGTCCTTCTCTGGACAGGTTGGCAGTGCGATGGTCGTTTTCCGGTATCGTGTTGTGATTTAACGTGCTGTGTCAGGTCTCCCGATCGTTGAGTCAGGGGTGTAATGCGCTTTTGGCGATTCGTCCGATACCTTGTTGGGGCTGTGCAGCGACCCGCCATGGGTGCCCGTGTGGTGGTGTTTCGATGCGATGAATCTCCGGGCGTGATGGGTGTCTTTGAGGTGAGCCATTTAGCTGAGGCATGGTTGCCCCCAGTACGGAGGGTGTTCTGGGCATGATGGAGCTTGGTTTCAGTAGTATTCTCCTTTTCGCCGCTCTGTGTCGGTGGGATGCCGGTCTGGCCCTCTGCCGCCTTCCCGCCATTTTGGGCCACACCAGGGCTGTGAGTTGTTGCTGTGGGTCTTGCGGTGGGCGGTGGGGTGCACTGCTTGATGCAGATTTCTGCAGACTTCCCTGCCGCAGCCTATGTTCCATTTTGAGCCAGAAGTTCGTAAATATTTGTTCTAGGCTGGTCAGTAAGCCCTGTTGCGTTGCTTGGCAGCCTGCAGGCCGCGTGGTCTCCGCCATCTTTAGTGGGTCTTTCTGCCCTCCGCTTGATTTCGCCTTAATTTCTGCCCTGTCTGGGAGGACTCCCAGGGGTGGACCGGGATCACCCCCAGGTCCCCAGGCCGCTCCAGGCTGGGAGCTCGGTCACCGCTCCCGTCCAGCGCGTCCCAGGCCGCATGGACGTTGCCTGCTATCCTTCCTACCGTGGGGACTGAGTGTCAGTAAGTCGCTTGGGGGTCATCTTTTGTTGGTTATTGTGGTTTGAGGGTGCCTTTTCATCTGTTTTGCAAAGATCTGGAGGGAGCTTCAGTTAGGCACATCTTCCCTCCATGACAGTCAGGCCCCGCCCCCCCACAATTTGGCTTTTGTAGCTTAAATTTTGTAAATTGCTATATTTTCTAGCGTGTAGTTGGTAGAACTGTGCTGAGAGGGTCAGCTGAGTCCTCTCAGCCAAGAGTCCTGCATCAGCCATGCTTTACTCTACAGAACAATATGGCTTCCCCTGTTGGGTAAGATTGAATGCGGCACTTTGTTAAGTTGTCAGAGTCTGCTAAAATGGTTTGACGTCTTACCTTGGGACACCGCCAGGGCACTCCAAACACTAATACTTTTACAGCCGGCTATAGTGGTTATGGTGCTTTTATACACTGGCAAAATATCTGTCATTTCTCTGTCAATGTTATCTCTTGCCACCAGCTGCTGTTTAAAGGAACACAAATGTGTATTTCTAATGTTATAGTGCCATGGTGGCCATTTAGATCACCGGCCTCTACCTCCAGGGAGAAAAGAAAACCATTTGTGGCTGGCCCCAGCTCCTTGACTGAGATCATCAGTTATCTCAGCCAAACCAATCCTTTCCCTTATGAAAATAGGGAAGGACAAAGGGAGGGCTCTTTAATTTTAGAGGTGAGGTGGGGTTGGGTGGGGGCATGGCCAGGTGCAGGGCTTTTCTGGGTGTGAGTGGGGGAGTGGCGAGGCGGTTCTGAGAAATTTTAGGTGACGTACTAATAAAAATTTATAAAATTAAACTGGTAATTTAGGATAAGAACAATGTATCATATTTACACAATGTAAACAACAGCAGTTAAACATAGAAACATAGAATGTGGCGGCAGATAAGAACCATTCGGCCCATCTAGTCTGCCCAATTTTCTAAATACTTTCATTAGTCCCTGGCCTTATATTATATTTAGGATAGTCTTATGCCTATCCCACGCATGCTTAAACTCCTTTACTGTGTTAACCTCTACCACTTCAGCTGGAAGGCTATTCCATGCATCCACTACCCTCTCAGTAAAGTAATACTTCCTGATATTATTTAAACCTTTGTCCCTCTAATTTAAGACTATGTCCTCTTGTTGTGGTAGTTTTTCTTCTTTTAAATATAGTCTCCTCCTTTACTGTGTTGATTCCCTTTATATATTTAAATGTTTCTATCATATCCCCCCTGTCTCGTCTTTCCTCCAAGCTATACATGTTAAGATCCTTTAACCTTTCCTGGTAAGTTTTATCCCGCAATCCATGAACCAGTTTAGTAGCCCTTCTCTGAACCCTCTCTAAGGTATCAATATCCTTCTGAAGATACGGTCTCCAGTACTGTGTACAATACTCCAAGTGAGGTCTCACCAGTGTTCTGTACAATGGCATGAGCACTTCCCTCTTTCTACTGCTAATACCTCTCCCTATACAACCAAGCATTCAGTTTGAGTGATGTCTTAACCCAATATAATTGTATAAAACCTACACCAACACTCCTGGTAAAACTGTCAAACCATAAAGGAAAATGTGCGAAAACAAAAGAGAATGGTGTTGGTAGGTATATTAAAATTGTGAACGGTGTATATATAAATCTGGGGATCTACCTTTTGGGCACCTCTGATCTAGTGGTACAAAGAAAAATGACATTTTAATATAGTTCCAGAAGATTCTCTATTAACCAGAATGAAACCCTGGTCTACTTTCTATTTCTACACCCAGTACGCTGTAGGCTTTGAAAGAGAATAGAACGGTGTTCATTCCACCCTTACATGTGTGTGATGTCCATCCAATCACATTAACTCCCCGCCCCGGCTAACATGAAGTGTGAGGGGATACCCTTTCAGTTTAAGTGTCTGTTTAATTCTCTATATTGAGCGATTGACAAGAAAAGGATGAATCTGCACACTTAAATGAGGATGGACCTTGTTGCAACCAGACCTGGAGCTTGCAACCCCTATTCACAAAGTAAAAATGAGTGTGGTCGTGGCACTCAAGGTCACTTGAAAAGCTTCAACCCGCAAAGAGGTTGTTGTTAAGCTAAACAAAGACCCCTTTGTGGGTCGAAACGTTGCCTCTCTTCTGTTCTAATAAAGCTGCTTTATAAGAGACCTTGAGTGCCTGGATTACGCTTATTTTTAGTCTCTATATTGTCAGACAGGCATCATCAAATCCCCTTCTAGGATTTACTTCAAGATAATTAGAACAGTTGTAAATATTTTATATGGGAACTGTCTGTCGTTTTTAAAATATTTCTGTATCTCCTATGTTTAATAAAAATGTGTTTGTGAGGTCTGCAAAATTAAATGTAACAAACCACAGAGCGCATTGCTCTACACTGGAGCCTCCACCTTGGCTCCCTGTCAATTATTGTAATATGCTGGGTACTTTGCAATTTACAGTCCTAGAGAGCACAGAGGGGCGGAGTGAATGTGTGCCTTGGTTGTGCCATGATAGAACTGGATTGTGATGTCATTTGTTAAATCTGTATACATTTAAAGGAAAATGGAGTATCACATGAAAGCTGATTATTCTATGATGATTAATTTATAGGTGATTTTTAAGATTTTATTCCAAAGAATAATTCCCTTACTATTATGGACCTTAAAAAAGAATAGCTGGCCCTAAAATATGAAAGCTGTATATTCTGAGCGCGCTATTGTTTATATGGTTACAATATGCTCCAAATTAGATCATTACTGGGCAGCTGATAAAAAAGAAGTCCGATGTCCACTCCACCAATGACTCATCCCTGCTTGGAACGACGTAATGAGCCACTAATGCATCAAAAGTGAAGAACGATTCGGCCCCAGACGGAGTGTCCCCTTAGTTTGGATCTTGGGCTGAATTGATTCCCTGTATGCCATTTCCCCATTCCAGCCGATCTGAACTCTGCATTTGGTATATTCTTATTTACTGTGTCTGGGACGGGAAGATTAAATGATAATTGCCTGTGATGTCTGCCTATTTATCTTCTATTCATCGAACTCTGCTGGAGATGCAGAGGGGTGTTCTAATATGGGCGAATTGTGATTAGAAACATGGCACTAATGGCTCACATTACATCCATCCCCATGTAATCACATTATCAATCAAGTCAGATTTGTAGATCACGAGTTCTGCGCCCTTTATTGTTTGCAGCACGGCATGCCAATGAGATGCTGCAATGGGCATTGCTGGTTGTGATCCGTGCATGTTATTAAGCACGTGGCAAGCTGGCACCCGGGGGCTTATATTGCTTATCTCCCCATTTATTTAACTTATACCCTTAATGGCCAACGATGGGCTGGGTCAGCAATGGTTAACAGATAGTCCTAGCTACTGCAGGACTGCCACTTTCATGGCGCTTTCCCAGCCTGCAAGTCTACAACAGCTGGAGCTATCATAGTGCTATATATCACCATTACAATGTGATTATTATGGATCCTATCGAAAAATGGTTTATCCTTCTTATTTAACGACAGCAAGGCTGACAGTCTCCAATTAGCAGGACAATCCATGCATGCATAGGGTCTTTAGGGACCAGATTGTAATGTCACCAAAGAATGCCACTGGTCCTTAAGGGTTTAATACCGGCTATGAAGGTTCACATAATAAGGTGTGGCATGTAGACATCATTACAAATTATCTCAGGATATAAAATAATTAGTTATACGAATGCTTTAAAATATATATTACCAGCTTAAACATTGTGCCTTCAAAATCGCGTGCCTGAAGTTTATGTCTTGCTCAATGCCAAGGGCTGTGAGGACATCACCATGCTCCTACAATGCCAGGGGCTGTGAGGGCATCACCGTGTTCCTACAATGCAATGGGCTGTGAGGGCATCATCATGTTCCTACAATGCCAAGGACTGTGAGGGCATCACCATGCTCTTACAATGCCAAGGACTGTGAGGGCATCACCATGCTCCTACAATGCCAAGGACTGTGAGGGCATCACCATGCTCTTACAATGCCAAGGGCTGTGAGGGCATCACCATGCTCTTACAATGCCAAGGGCTGTGAGGGCATCACCATGTTCCTACAATGCCAAGGACTGTGGGGGCATCACCATGTTCCTACAATGCCAAGGGCTGTGAGGGCATCTCCATGCTTCTACAATGCCAAGGACAGCGAGGGCATCATCATGCTTCTACAATGCCAAGGGCTGGAGAGCTGGAGAAGAGGAGAAATGAAACAATGTTTACGTTTCTCCTCCTTATTTGCAATTTGTGCCATGACTGTGACAATTCAAAAGGACTGAACTGTTTTTTTTCGTGTCAATCTTTAATATACATTTAAAAGAAATTGGAGCATCGCATTGAAAAATGTTAACCCAAGTTATAGATGACATTCAGTTTTCTATTTGAAGGTTTAATTCAAAACCAATCACCACAAAATACGCACTATAAATTGCGATACATCCCACTCATTTGTCAGCTATGGCTTTAGAAACCTTTACTGGAAAATGACAGAATACTTCATTTATAGAAAGGGGGCTCACTGCTATAACAAGTACTAACTCCCAAACTGGTTAAAATCGAACAGCTTTTATCTAATTCACTGTTGTATTCTTTACACTCAGAGGTTCAGCTTTTTTCGTATTTTCTTATTTTAATGTCTCATGGGATGAATAAAAACTGTTGGATTTTAACCAGTTTGTGAATTCGTACTTGTGATTCTACTTTTTGAGGGTGTAAATTCCCCTTTAAAATGTATAAAATATAACATTAAAATATAGGTTAATAAAGTATATTTACTGACATTTTAATACCTTTGTAAAAG